ATGCGCTCGCCAGACAGAGAGAGACAGAGAGATAGGAAGCGAGAAATCACCCCCCGGGGGGATGGCCACGCTGCAATCCCTTCTCCTCCCTTCTCCTCTTGGGATCTTGGGCGTGCACGCACACGCGCCCGGCGTGAGTTTAAGCCACCGGGTCCAGGACTCAAACCCCGGTGAACTACGTGGGAGTCCAGCGACATAGCCATTACGCTAACTGCTGGTCCCCCAATAGTGGGCTTTTCACACTGGGTGGGAGGAGAGGTGAAGCTGTATCGGGGCCCCTCGCAGACCGTACTGTCAGAATTTCCCCCCTTGCGCCAGCACCACCTCAAATGTCAGGGCTCACCCACTATTCTCGTCCCTTCAACCTAACCTTTCGGGGGCTTTGGAGGGGAATTTTGCCATTTCTGCCAGGCCTCTCTAAAGCATGCTGTGAACCCAGGCTTTATAGGGTGTTGAAAATGCCCCAAAGGTGTTCTTTATGTCCAATAATTGTAACTTAAATGTCTCTTGAGTGAGGCTAAAAAGCAAGTGAAAATGATGTAAACATAAAATTTCACATAGCACATTCATTGTCTGGTGAGATGATAGATGCAAGAAGCAAGATTAAAATAGAAATAAATAGGTTGAAATCACTTTGTAAACTGTATGGTTCTGCAAATGAATGCGCTAATCTCTAGCAATAAAGAAAGCTGTCAAATAATCTAGGGCGAAATCAGGATAATCGTTAAGTAATTGACAGCTGTTAGCGATTCAATAGATGCTGGGAATTCAACAGTAACCAAGGCAGAAAGGTCCTCTCACGGAGTTCTTTGGACTAAGGGGAGAGAGACAATAAGTAAACAAAAGTGTTGAAAAAAATAACATAAAAATGGCTTCAAAAAGAGCTTTGATCGTCCTGGCTAAAGGAGCAGAGGAAATGGAGACGGTCATCCCCGTAAATGCTGAGACGAGCTGGGATTAAGGTCACTGTTGCTGGCCTGGCTGGAAAAGACCCGGTGCAGTGTAGTCGTGATGTTGTCATTTGTCCTGATGCCAGTCTTTTTTTGTTTTTTTGTTTTTTCTTTTTTTTGGAGAGGTTTTTGCTATAGGGCGCGTGTGCTTGCTAGAAAGAGAGAGACAGAGAGACAGAAAGCAAGAAATCACCCCTCAGGAGGGATGGCCACACTGCAATCCCTTCTCCTCCTTTCTCCTCTCTCGGGATCTTGGGCACGCACGCACATGCGCCCCGTGTGAGTTTAAGCCACTGGGTACGGGACTTGACTATGGTCGACTACGTAGGAGTCCAGCGACATAGCCATTACGCTAACTGCTAGTCCTCTGATGCCAGTCTTGAAAATACAAAAAAGAGGGACCTTATGACATGGTGGTTCTACCACGAGATAATCTGGGTGCACAGAATTTATCCGAGTCTGCTGCCATGAAAGAGATCCTGAAGGAGCAGGAAAAGCGGAAGGGCCTTATAGCCGCCATCTGTGCAGGTCCTACTGCCCTGTTGGCTCATGAAATAGACTTTGGAAGCAAAGTTAAAACACACCCACTTGCTAAAGACAAAACGATGAATGGAAGTCATTACAGCTACTCTGAGAATCGTGTGGAAAAGGATGGTCTGATTCTTACACGCCATGGTCCTGGGACCAGCTTCGAATTTGCTCTCGCAATTGTTGAGGCACTGAGCGGCAAGGAGGTGGCCGACTAAGTGAAGGTTCTACTTGTTCTTAAAGATTCAAGCAGGCGAATGTGCCCGTGAGTTAGAGGAACAGACCATTTGTGATCCATTCTAACTGCATTCGCATTAATCAAGTGGCTGGCTAATGCGCCCCTAAGTTGTCATTGCTGCTTGTGTAGTCGTGAGGTCTCAACTGCCCACAGATCACTCAGCCTATGAGTTGTGTCTGCACATTTCTGAACCTTGTTTGCAGAATAAACAGAGCATTTAGCGAAAAAAAAAAAAAAAAAGATAGATTAACTTATCCCAAGAGATATCACTGTTGGGACCCTGGTCCAATTCTCTTTATACAAGTGACTAGTTAAATAATTTTATGTTTTGTATTTCATCTTAAAGCTTTCCGTTTAAATTCAGAGCCACATTAGCAAATATACTTTACATTTTTCCCTATAACATGCTGTTTGATTTGGACAATACTGAGTAACCCTCAAGAATCATTGAAGCCCTGGGACCAGCAGATGGTGAAGTAGTTATGTTGCTGGACTCCCGTGTAGTTGATTGCGATTTGAGTCTCAGACCTGGTGATTTAAAACTCACGCCAGGCATGTGTGTATGTGTATGTGTGTGTGTGCATGTGTGCCCAAAATCCCGAGAGGAGAATGGAGGAAAAGGAATCGCGGTATGGCCATTCTCCTTGGGGAGGGTGATTTCTTGCTTTCTTTCTCTCTGTCTTTCTCTGTTTCTCTGGCAAGTGCACATGCCCTGTAGCAAATATCTTAAAAAAAACACAAACAAACAAAAAAAAAACACTCCCTGAAGCTCTAAGTAACCACCACTAATTCAGATTTAAAGAGAATATGAGAAAATCCTTGAACAAAGAGAAAGCCAAGATATAGATAACTTCAAGGTATGAGATTTTGTGACATTGGTTTCTAATCCTAAGACTGTACTTATCCTAAAACCTATATTATCTTAAACTCAGAGTTTCTTGGGTTTTTGAAGGTATGAATTTTTTCACTATTTTCTTACCAACCCCAGCACTCAACAATTACCTCTTCACTGTGCTTTCTGTTACATTTATTTTTTGCATAATGTTGTTAATTTTCTCCATCCAGCCTAAGTGGTCATCTCCAAGTTCTTTCACTTGCTGACCCATCATTGCATTCCAGTAGTTTAGCTTGAGAAACACGTGCTCCTGACTCCTGCAGAATTATTGTTATGATCAGCTTTAAGATAGAAAATGGGGAAGACCTCACACAGCCCCAAACTCTCTTCTTTTGAATGGCAAATTAGTCTGTTTATTCATTTCTGTCACCAAAACGGACTAGGCGGGTACGTGGGCCTCAAGAAAAAAACTTTGGACATTTATTTGATATTCATTTTAACAGATCTTTTAAAAGAATATTTTATATTAGTAAAAAAAAAAAAAAAAGTAGATGTATTTTTACTCTGTGGCTTGAGTCTCAGACCTGACAGCTTGAAAAACACGCTGGGCACATGTGCGTGCATTTCTAAAATCCCAAGGGAAGAATGGAGGAGAAGGGATTGCATTGTGGGCCATCCTCTCCAGAGCATGATTTCTCACTTTCCTCCTTCTTCTATCTCTCTCTCTGGCAAGCATAAGCACCCTATAGCAAAAGGTTTTAATTTTTTTTTTTATTTAAAGATATATTCTGAATTTTCCTGCATGGAATGAATGTTAAAGGTTCGGGTAGTGGTACAGTGGTGATATAGCTGGGCCCACATGAGAAAGGTCCTAGGTTTGTGTCTCAGAACTTCCCTGGGTACTCTGGACATGCACGCCTGACTGTCATCCAGGCTGGCTGAGATTGCAGGAGAATGGAGGCATGAGGACCCTGTTGAGGGGGTGCCTGTTTCTTTCTCTCTCTCTCGTGAAAAAAATAAATGAACAATTTAAAAATGTGTATTTGTGTATGTGTGTATATATATATATATATATGTGTGTGTGTGTGTGTGTGTGTATACACACACATATATATATATATATATATACACACACACATCAGAATAGTGGTTGCAATTTGTTGAGAAAAGGTGTACAGCAGGGAAACAGGCCACAAAGACTTAACAATATACTTTTTAAAAATATATTTACTTAATTTTGTTATTAGATTTTACTTGACAGAGAGACAGAGAGAGAGAAAGAGAAAGTTAGAAAGAAACCCACCAGGTCTGGGACTCGATCCACGATTGGCCATGTGGGAGGGAGTCTAGCGCCCTAACCCACCATGCCACCCGCCAGCTCCCTTAACAGTATTCTGTTAATGATAATTCTGATAGTTTCCATATAATCATCTGAGAGTGTTGAGATATATGTTAATTCCAGGCTCCAAAGAAAAGTTTGCACAGAGAACCTGGGGCTCCGCCTGTATCTCTAGAAACGTCCTTACTCTTACTCTTCATTTTGCTGGAACATGTTGATAGTTACCTATGCACGTGAGTGCTTTCTGCTCCAAGACAGGTAAGATTTTAAATCCTCCAGGCGTTCCCTATGTTCTCTGCTAAATTTTATTTACTCCCCCACAAAACATTATTAAATACTCTCTTCCATGCGTCAAAGCTTACAGTTCAGCGACGCTCTCCTCTGAAAACCGCAGAGATGTGGACTCTTGAGCATCCTCATGAACAGTATCTGTTTCTTGCTTATCCTGTTCCCTCTGTCTGTCCTGGTCATGCTCAGCTTCCAGCTCCAGCTTATTCTGATAAAGATGACAAAGACAGCAAAATAGAAGGGTTATTGGGAGATGGTGGTTCCTCCAGCCCTACGCAATCCCCCTTCTCTGGGTACAATTTCATGGCTCTCTAAGTCTGGAGCCTGCTAATGCTTTTTTTTTTTTTTCTTAAGAAGATTTTTGCCTTAGGCCACTTGTGCTTGCCAGGGGGAGAGAGAGAGAAAGAGAGAGAGAGAGAGAGATACAGTGAGAGGGAAAGTGAGAAATCAATCACTTCCCAGGGGGATGGCCATGCCACAATGCTTTCTTTTCCATGCTCTTCCTAGGATCTTGAACATACACGTACAAGTACCCAGTGTGATTTTCAAGCCACCAGGCCCAGGACTCAAACCTCAGTCGGCCATGTGGGGTCCAGAAATGTAACTGCTACACCATCTGTTGGCCCCTCTAATGCATTTTTAAGGTGAGCAGACATGCTCTTCTGCTGAGTTTACAGAGGAAGGCTAGGGCAGAGACAGGGAAATAGCACTGTCCACTTGCAGAGCACCTTTCAGGGCTGCCTAGTCATAGAATTTCAACTGACCAGAGACTCTCAAACTCTACTCAAATAAGTTGATGGCTCTGGTCTCTTCAAAAAAAAAAAACTGTCATGGCAAAGAAAAGGTGGTGGGACTGTCTATATGAAGAGAGCGTAAAGAGAGGTAGCAACCAAATGCATTGCAAAGATCTTGATTGGGTGCTGCTTTAAAAATATGGGGGAGGGGGTGTAGTTAAGAATGGCTCAGTGGGAAAACATGATGCCCTGCATGGCAAGCTCTCATGGGAAGGACCTAGGTTTGCACTAGAACCTTGAATATGCCAGATATGTGCACGCTTGTGGTCCTGGGTTGGCTGAGGCTAGAATAGGGGTAGGGAGAGCAGGGATAATCACATCCAGACCCTGCTGAAGGTCTGTCTCTCTCTGTCTCTTTATCTCTCTGTCTATCTCTGTTGCTCATGGAAGAAAGGGATAATACAAACTTTGAAAAAAGAACATGGCTATCAAGCTAGCTTGGTGGCATATGGTAATGCGCTACTGGATGAGGCTGGATCCCTACAGAGGTTGTGCGTTCAGTTTCTGGATCCTACTGTGCATAGAGGGCATGTGTGCCTAGTGATCCTTGCTGACTGGGAAGGCTTGGGGTGGTCACAGTGTGAGACCCTGCTGAGGGTGCTTCTCCTCCACCCTCTCACTCTCATAGAATAACTAAACTTTAAAAATATAGGGACCAGCAGTTAGCATAATGGATATGTCGTTCAACTCCCATGTAGCCAACCGCAGTTCAAGTCCCGGACTCAGTGGCTTAAACTCACACTGGGTGCGTGTGTGTGTGTGCCCAAGATCCTGGGAGGAGAATGGAGAGAACAGATTCAGGCATCGCCATCCCCCCTGGGGGGCGGTGATTTCTCGCTTTCTGCCTCTCTGTCTCTCTCCGTTTTCCTGGCAAGCACATGCATCCTATAGCTAAAACCTCTCCAAAAAAAAAAAAAAAAAGAAAAGAAAAAGAAAGAAAGAAGAAAAAAGATATATATATAGCAGAGCCAGCAGGTGGTATAGTGGTTATAGCACTGGACTTCCACATGGTCAACGACAGTTTGAGTCCCAGATCTGGTGGTACTCTCTCTCACACTGTGCGTGCATGCCCTAAATCCCAGGTGGAGGATGGAGAAGGGATTGTGGCATGGCCATTCCCACAGTGGGGGTGTTTCCTCACTTTCCCTCTCACTGTCTCTCCAGTTTTCTCCAACAAGCACATGTGCCCTGTGGCAAAACAAAACAAAACAAACAAAAAAAAAAAACAAAAAAACATTTGAAAAAAATTATATATTTAGCTATAAAGAACATTGGGGAAAAATCAGAAATTAGAATATTGAGAGAACTAAGAATACTAGATTATATTATGTAATTATTGCTAATTTTCCTAGCTGTAATAACATAATTTTGTAGAAGAAAGTCATTATTTTTAGAGACACTTTCCAAAATAAGCAAGGATAAGTATCATACTGTCTTTGACCTATTTTAAATGCTTGAAAAATTCCACCTATTGGGACCAGCAAATGGTGTTACTATTGCATCATTGGACTCCCATGTAGTTGGCCGTGGTTCAAGTCCCGGACCCAGCAGCTTAAAACTCACACCGGGCACGTGTGCATGTGTGCCCAAGATTCCGAGAGGAGAATGGAGGAGAAGGGATTGCAGTCTGGCCATCCCCCTGGGGAGGTGGTTTCTCGCTTGTTGTCTCTCTGTCTTTCCTGCGAGCACATGTGCCCTATAGCAAAAACTTCTCTTCAAAAATAATAATATTAATAATAATAATCCACCTATTTATACACTAAAGATAAAGCTGGGGCTGGCAGGTGGTGTGGTGGTTAAAGGCACTGGACTCCCACATGGCAGACCGCGGATCAAGTCCTGGATCTGGTAGTGCTTTCTCTCCCTCTCTCTCATCAAATTGAAAAATAATTATAATAAATAAATAATTCTTTTAAAAAAAGATAAAGCCAATGTGACAAAGGATAACAATATTAAACATCTAGGTATGGGAATGTGGTTGATCAATGTAATACTTATACATTCTCTCTTTAAATTTTGTCATGCCGGAGCCAGCAGGTGGCCTAGTGATTAAGGGCATTAGATTCCCGCATGGCCAATCGCAGTTTGAGTCCTGGACCTGGTGGCTTGCTTTCTCATTTTCTCTCTCTCTCTCTCTCTCAGCTCTATCTTTTACTTTCTCCCTCTCTGGTAAAATTAAAATAAATAAATAAAGTTAAATAAAAGTAATTCTTTAAAAAATATTTTTTGCCATGCCTAAGATTTTGGGAAAAAGCCTACATGAGTTCAACCAACAAAAATGATTTATTTGTTTATTCTTTGCCTTGCTCTAGAAAAACATTTGAGGCATTTTCTGGTATTTCAATTCTATGCATGCAAAAATTGGCAATAATTTATCTTTGGATATGTCTCTTCTTTAGTAACTCTATTGTGAACTATTTCTTCTGTAATTTGAAGAAGTTTGATCAGAAATTCTTGTTGGGGCTGGCAGGTGGCATGGTGGCTAAGGATACTGGACTTCCACATGGCAGACCATGGTTCAAGTCCTGGACCTGACGGCTTGCTTTGTCACTTTCTCTCTCTTTATCTCTCTCTGTCCCTTGTACCTCAAATTTAAAAAGTAAATGAATAAAGTTAAACAAAATAATTCTTTTTTAAAAAAAAGAAATTTTTGTGTTTAAGCAAAGCCATTTTTAAACCAAAAGGAGAAAAGTTTAGAGTAGGGAAAACAGATAAGTTTCTTATTGAAGTATCTATAGAAATAATACATGTAACACTTCACAAATTGTTTCAATTATTTTTGTTCATTCTCATGAAACACTTAAGGAGAGTAAAGGCAAGTATTGAAATTCTCTAGGCCATTCATATGTAGTGATTTATCTAAGGTTATTATACTATAGTGGATTAAATAGTAACTCCCAAAAGATTTGCCTATGTCATAATATTGGGACTCTGTGAATATTATTTTATTTAGAAAGATTATCTTTGGAGATGTAATTAAGTTAAAAATCTCAAGATACAATCCTCTTCAATTACATGGATGTAATTGGGTCTTAAATCCAATGACAAATATCCTAGTAAGAGACAGAAGAAGAAAAGACAGATACAGAGGAGAGGGCCACATGAATATGGAGATAGAGTTTTGCAGCCAGTCATGGAGGCATGGACCCTCCAGAAGGAAGAATTCTTCCCCTGGAGAGTGGTTTAAGGGCAGAACAGATTAATTTTATTGGCAGATTATTTGAGATCAGGTGGCAATTTTACATACTGTGATTTGCTTCAGTGTGAAAAATGTCACAGTTATTTCATTATTCCCAAGTATAAAAATAACATATAATGTGTATGCACACACACACATACAGGAAAGTTAGTGAGTCCCCAAGCATCCAGTGCAGTAATGACATATCCTGCCTGCCCCCTGGTTTCAAGTCCTCCCCGCACCTGTTGTGAGGAAACCTTCAGATTTCTTACTACTTTGAGATACGAGATGTGAAGTTCTTCTCTTTACCCAATGTGAGCTGTGTGTCCCTTACCCATCTTTTGTTGTCCATCTCATGGAGGAGGTCAGTTTGAGGGTTTTCAGAGAAAACGTCATCAGTTGATCTGTTCAAGATGTGGTCCGTTTTGGTAATTTTCCTTAGCAAACTGTAAGCCACACAATCAAACAGAGGCTGTTATTGTGCCTTAGGGAGAACACAGTTGTTTCTAGCCCCAAGGAACTCCTGCTGTCTGGTACTGAGTTTACTCCATGGATAATGCCCTACATCGTACATGATACAAAATAGGGAGGGAGGGGCTGGGTAGGTATTTGCTGACTGAATTTATAAATTATTTAACAATGATATCCCAACTCCAAAGTTATTACAACTATGAGTTTATGTACATGTAAGTGTGTGTGCAAAATAAGTAATCAAGTAAGGAAATAGCCTTTAAAAAAAAAATAGAGTTAAAGGTCTGTCCCCATAGCCTAGTGGTTAAGGGCACTGGATCCCACATGGCTGACCAGGATTAGAATCCCAGTCCCAGAGGGTTGAAAAAACATGCTGGACATGTGTATGTGCATGCCCTAAATCCTGATAGGATGTAGAAATAGGGGAGAAGGGATTCTGACATGACCATGCTCCATTGGAAGGTGTGTACTCTCTCCTCTGTCTTTCTCTGGCCAAGTATACACAACTTCTGGCAATTACAAAAATTAAAATTAAAAAATAGAGCTTGCAGGGCCAGCAGGTTGTGTTAAGGTGTTAGTTAAGGTGGCTGCATACCCACATGGCCGACTGCAGTCTGAGTCCCAAACCTGGGGGCTTGAAAATCATACTGGGCATGTGTGCATGCATGCACAAAATTCTTAGAGAGGAATGGAAGCTTAAAACTCATGCTGGGTGCATGTTCATGTGTGTCCAGAATCCCAAGAGGATAATGGAGGAGAAGGGACTGTGACATGGCTCTGCCCGCAGGTGTGATTTCTTGCCTTCTGTCTGTCTGTCTGTCTGTCTGTCTCTCTCTCTCTCTCTCTCTCTCTCTGCCTCTCTGTCGAGTGCATGTACCCTATAGTAAATTTTTTAAAAAAGCTTTTTCTAGTCTTAAAGGTTGATACCCATTGACTTGTATTAGAACTCACTTTTATCATGCACTAGTAAATGTATTTATATATTTATATGACCATTTGTACTCCTTCTACTCTAGAAAGTATTTCACATGACTCATATCTTTAGTAAATGACAATAATAAAACCATGAAATGATCACCATATTTTCTCAAATTATTCTCCATGGTGTCTGCGTAGTTATGATCATAGGCCTCTTTAGTGTCTCATATTAGGCCTATTATACTAAGTATTTATGAGATCAAAATTAGATTAATGTGGGGCAGAATAGCAACTCAGACCCTGAATTTGGATATCTCATTGTTTACATCCCAATGGCCCAGACAGAGCTCCAGAGAAGACCACCAGTACTACTCCTACAAGCTCAGCCCTGACTTACTTCCTCCTTGCACCTTCAGTTGCTCTAGGGGTTTGGAGAAAGTCATTGTTTTTCTCAGTCATCTCTTGTTCCTTTCCAACTGTCTTCATCTGCAGAGACTCCATACCATTTTGATATGTGGGTGGGAAAGCCATTTCAGCACTGCAAGGACAATGACAGTAAGAGAGATTTCAGGCAGGGTTGGCAACTGCATCTTCTCTACTGATACCATTTCTTTCTCAGGGAGTTTGGCCCTAACTCTGCTTCTTCCAAGCTGGCTCTCCATTATTAGGGACCCCAAAGCAAGCGCTTAGATTGCTCTGCTTAAATACGTATGGGAAGATCTTGTATGTGACTATCCCCAAGGACACACATCATGGGAGGGTGTGTGAGCCTGTAAATGTTCATTTGAAGCCTTTGACTAGGGATATTGTTAAAGAGCATATGATAGCCAGCCTGGGGGTATAGAAATTGTAATGTTTAGGTGTAGAAATTGTAATGTTTATAACCTCTCTTTGATTACATAGTAATTATATGTACATTGTAAAAATAGAAGAAGATAAGAAAATAAAATCACCAGTGATAATCTCAGAGATCTCCAGAGTTGCTATTTTATAAATATTTTTGTATATTTATTTATTTTAAAAATGGATACTTGTACTGGAGAAACTCTGGGAGACATTGTGGCAGGCAAAAACTTCTTAAGTAAATCCCCCAGAGCACAGTCAGTAATCCCAAAAATAGACAATGGGATTACATAAGATTAAGACGTTTCTGCATGGCAAAAGACACAGTAATTAGTGTGAATCAACAGCCCTCAAAATGGGAAAAGATTTTGTAAACTATGTGTCAGAAAAGAGACTGATAACCAGAATACACAAGGAACTCAGGCAGCTGTCCTGAAAAAAGATGATCAACCCTATTAAAAGATGGGAGAGGGACCATCAGTGGATGTAATGTCTATGTCACTGGACTCCCATGTAGTCGACCACAGTTCGAGTCCCAGACCCCGTGCCTTAAACTCACACCAGGCATGTGTGCGTGCATGCCCAGCCAGGATCACAGGAGGAGAATGGAGGAGAAGGGATTGCGGCATGGTCATCCCCACTGGGGGGGTGATTTCTCACTTTCTGTCTCTCTATCTCTGTCTTTCTGGCCAGTGCACACGCCCTATAGCAAAAATAACCTCTCCAAAAAATAAAGAAAGAAAGAAAGAAAGAAAGATGGGAGAATGAGTTGAAAAATCCACTTTCTAAGGATGACATACGAATAGCAAAAAGACATGAAAAAATGCTCCACATCCCTCATTGTAAGGGATATACAGATCAAAACCACAATGAGATACCAACTAACCCCAGTTAGAATGACTAAGATTAAAATATATATATATATATGATATGTACTGGCATGGGTGTGGTGAAAGGTGAAATCTCTTACATTGCTGGTGGGAATGTAAGTTGGTCCAGCCACTATGGAGAGCAATTTGGAGATTCCTCAAAGATCTACAAATACAACTACCATATGATCCAGTAATCCTACTCTCTGGTATCTACCCAAAGGACAGAAAAATCCTTAGTCATAAAAGTGCTTGCACATCGATGTTTATTGTGGCATTATTCACAATTGTTAAGACATGGAACCAACCCAAATGCCCATGACCAGATGAATGTCTTGAAAAAAGTGTGGCACATATACTCTGTGGAATACTACTCGGACATAAAAAACAAGACCCTGGCCTTTGACAGAAAGTGGACGAATATGGAAGATTTACTACTGAGTGAAGCAAGCCAGGGTATGAGAGAGACATTGTATATCTCTACTTAATATATACTGATTGTCCATATTCTATGACCCAAACTGAATGACTAAAGGATATAGAAGCATAGTAAATGGTTGTGAATAACAGATACGGTATGGGAAGAGGGAGGGTGAAGGAGTAGAGTCTGAGGAAGGACATTAAAGAGAAAAATAGAGAGCCAAGGCATTTATGGGACAAAGAAATGGGTTGTTATCTGCTGAGGGATAACCTTACAGTATTGCCAACTGGACCCATGCGAAATGTACACATATTGGAACTTTCACTTTGCAAGCTAAGTAACATAATTGAATGTATAAAAGAAATTGAAATAATAATAAAGAAATAAGAGAACAAAGAACCCAAAAAAATATTTTTAAAATTAATACTTGTTCTGCTCTTTTTCCATTGTTGACAAAATTATTTCCAACTGTTCACCAGAATAAATAATTTTATAATTAAGGGACCAGCAAGTGGCGTAGTGGTTAAGATGTTGGACACTCCCACATGGCTGACCATGATTTGAGTCCCGACCTGGTAACTTGCTTTCTCACTTTCCCTTTCTCTCTCTCTGTGTCTCTCTCTGGTCAAATTAAAATAAATACATAATAAATTTAAAAATTTTTAAAAGAAGTTTGAAGAAAATAAAAATCATATGATAATTAATATCCTCACTTAGTAATTTTCAGTGCACTCTGATTACTTAGGATACTTCATTAGAAGTGGGATTACTGACTCAAAGTGTATGTATACAGATTTTTAAAAATTTATTATTATTATTTTAAGTTTGCTCTAGAGCATGTGTGCTTGGCAGAGAGAGGGAGAGCAAGAGAGAGAGAGAAAGAGAACAAGGGAAAGTGAGAAAGCGAGCCCCCAGATTGAGGACTGAAGCCATAGTTAGCCATGTGGGAGTCTAGCCCCTTAACTGCCATGCTACTTGGTTGCCCCTATATACAGATTTTTAAGGATTTAGGAACATATTTCCAAATTGCTTTTCTAAAGGTTCAACCAGTATACATCACTGCCATCTGTGTGTGAAAATGGGAACCTTCCTTCCAACCTGAGAGGCAAGTGTCATCTGGAAAACAGAAAGTGAATTGTTATGGAACTTAAGTAATGCAGAAATAAAGGGGAAAGGCTCATATGAAAAGCAATAGGGAAAAAATAGGTGTGAAACAATGCCACATAATTATCAGAAATTATTAGGTTGTCAGGAAACTCATGATGTATTTTTCCATGCAAAAATTCTTTACTGACTTTCCTGATGAAGGATTGTTGTACCCAGCACCAAAGAGGAGGACACCTTCTCCTCTGTTATCACTTAATTGAGTGATTAACAGTAGGCTGGCCTAGAGCTGGAGCCTGAGAGACAGAATCCCTGAGGGACAGAGGGGATGGCTGGCTAACAGAAAGAAAAACAGTAAGAGGGGTTTTCCTGGAAGGGTGTTAGGGTTTGGATAATGGTTTGTCCCCTGAAGGTTCATGTTTTGGGATTTGATCCTAGTGGCTAGTAATTGGATCATGGAGGACTGACCTCATGAATGGATGAATGCTGTTTTGTGAGAGACTGAGTTCTAGCTCTCATTAGAATGGGCTAGTTCTTGCAAGAGCAGGTTGTTATAAAAGAGAGCTGCCTGCAACTCTGTCTCTGTCTCTGCACGTGCCCACCATCTTCTCTGCTTCTGTCACCTATGATGTGACATAGAACAGCCTCAAGCCAGTTGCAAGCCTTTGAACTTTCCAGCTACCAAAATCCTGAGTCAAGTAAACTTCTATTCTTTATAACTCACCCAGTCTCAGGTGTATTATTAACACAATAATGGGTTAATATTGCAAGAATAAGAAAGGGGGAAGAAGGACTATGGAGGAGGTACTGTGAACCACAGGAATAGGAACATGTAGGCACCTCATATCCTGTTTCGTCATTCTGTGGCAAAATGGAGCTTTGTCCTTGACCAGAGTAATGATCCACAGTGGATGTGGTGCAAAAGGGGCCTTTGTGAAAGAGAAGTATCAGGAAAGGGCTGAATCATTTGATGCGAGGCAGTATCATCTTTTTCTTTTTTTTTTTTCCAGGAAAGGAGAAAAGTTTATGTTTCAATTTTAAAAAACAAACAAAACCATTTTAACAAATTGCTGAACCTGTTAACAGTTCAAAAGAAAACAATATTCTTAAATCTGGAAAACAAAGCATGAAAGAAAATCAGTAATGTTTCAGTCAACAGTCATAAAATTCTATTTCACCAGTTCAGTCTCATGTAATTAATCTCTCTTCTGTTGAATTTGCAGTGTTACTGTGGTCTGATCTGTCCATTTAAATCCTAGAAGTTAACATTCAGTGTTCTTATTAATATTTCTGGGCTTGTCCCTAACATTAAGTTGGTCATTTTCTTGGTTGCTTTTTGTTTTCATATTTTTAACTGTCTGTCTTAGTTGACCTGGTATAGCATCCCTTCAGAACTTTTTGAAGAACTGGTTTGGTGTTGGTAAATTCTTACAGGTTTTGTTTATCTGAAAATGTTTTTGTCTTTTCTTACCATATGAGGATAATCTTGCTGGGTATAGTATTCTTGCTCAAAATTGTGTTTCATTTAACACTTTGAATATATTTCCCATTCTTTCCTTGCTCGCATTGTTTCCGATGAGAGGTCTGATGTTAGCCTGATGGGATAACCTTTATAAGTAACCTGACATTTCTCTCTTGCCAGTTTTATTTTATTTTATTTTTTGAGAATGATTTTATTTTAACTTTATTATTATTATTATTATTTTCCAATTTGACCAGAGAGAGAGAGACAGAGAGAAAGGAAGTCACTAGGTCCAGGACTTAAACCACAGTTGGCCATGTCCAGTGCCTTTAACCATCATGCCATCTGCTGGCCCCACCTCTTGCCAATTTTAATATCTTGTCTTTTTCTGTGGTTTTGGCCAATCTGGCTATGATGTGCCTTGGAGAAGATCTTCTTGGGTTGATTTTATTGTAAGTCCTTTGTATTTCTTGGATCTGGATATTCAAATGCCTCCCTAGGTTTGGAAAGTTTTCTTCCAGGATTTCATGGAATACATTATCAATGCCCTTATTAGTTTCTTCACCTTCTGGGATACCGAATATCTGGATGTTTGGGCATTTAATGGTATCTAGTATTTCCCATATATTATGCTAATTTTTAAAATTATTTTCTCAGTATTTTTGGTGATTTTTTTCTAGGTCAGAGGTTTTGTCTTCAACATCTGAAATTCGATGTTTTGCATGATCTAATCTGCTTTTAATACTTTCAAGGAACTTTTTAAAATTTTTTTATTTATTCATTCATTTATTTTAATTTGATCAGAAAGAAACACACAGAGGGGGAGGGGCAGTGAGAAA